TATATTTATTTATATATATAGATATATATACTCAAGGTCATCCATGACCCATGACCCAGTTCATATTGGGTCCTGTGACCCACAATCAGAGATGGAGGTTCACATGCTATGGCTATTACTTGAATAACTCCCATCTGTGGTCAATGCCAATTAATCAGCTAGAGCTCTTTGTCTCAGGTAAGAAAGTCCTAGCCCTGCATTTGAATGATATCACCACAGAACCAGGATCCCAGGCAAAGACTTGATGTGTGGTAGGTGAGTGATCCTAGGTTTCTGTGCGTATTGTTACAGAATGTGTGATATAGCTGGACCTGTGTGCAAAACCCTAGGTGGATAATAAGAGTCCAGGGAAATGTGGGATCCCTGTGTGTCCTTCTGCTATTGTATATCAGTTTAAATGTGATTTGCAACTGTGACCTCTGTGCAGCAGTCCTGAGATATGTACATCTTCCTCTACTTTGTAGGGTCCTGTCAAAAACTTACCATCTGGGCTCATTCAGGCTCTGTGATCCCCTCAGGGAGTCCTGCAACCTTATGGTGTGTGGGGACCCCAGGAACCTGTAAGAATGTGATACATAAACAGGGAAGCCCAGAACCTGGGACAGAAGGACCCAAATAGAACACAATAAAGCAAATTCCACAATCCCTTCTTTGACAAGCCTGAATGCAAAACCATGCAACTGTTACTCTTACAACTTTATAGGTAGACAGAGTCAAGTCACAACCTGGAGCTGGTGGTGATAGGTGACAATTCAGTAAGCCTCATAATCCTTTTCTTTTTCTCCAGGAAATACTGTTCCAAAGCTGTTCACCCGCAGTCCATCTGCTGAAGGCAGTGAAAACTTTTTTCTCATTTAACAGTGTGCCTCTTCTTTTCCTAGATGTACATCATGGCAAACCTACTCTTTCAGCCTTTCCCAGTCCTATGGTGACCTCAGGAGTTAATGTGACCCTCCAATGTGCCTCCTCAAAAAAATATGATTGGTTCATTCTGACTGGGCAAGATTTGAAGTTCTCCAGGTCCCAGAAGGCACAGTTCATACACACTGAGAAGTCCCAGGCTCTGTTCTCTGACATCTCCATGGCATCTAGCAAGAAGGGACCCTTTAGATGTTACGGATACAATGAAAGTACTCCATATGTGTGGTCAGAGGCCAGTAACCCTCTGGAGATACATGTTTCAGGTGAGGAAATCTTGTCTTTAATTTAACTGTATTTTGATACTACAAAACATTTTGTTATTAGCCTTGCCGCTTCCAGGAGGTTTCTGGGAAATGAGTGGCTGAAGAAAGGTCTTGACTACTAAGGGCCAAAGCATTAAGGGTCATGTCATAGTCACAGCAGTATCAGTGGTGGAATGTATTACAAGATCAGCTGGATGACATGTTATCTCTCATTGTTCCAGGGTTGTCAAGGAAGCCCTCCCTGCTGAACCAGCAAGGCCCTGTCCTGACTCCTGGAGACAACCTGACACTCCAGTGTTCCTCTGAGACAAGTTTTGACAGATTTGCTTTATCCAAAGCGGGTAGAAGTGACCTCACACAGCTCTCTGTTAGTCAGTCACAGACTGGACAATATCATGCCAACTTCACCTTAGGGTCTGTGGATTTCTCTATTGCTGGCCAATATAGATGCTATGGTGCATCCAGATTTTCTTCTGAGTGGTCAGCCCCTAGTGTTCCTCAAGACATCCTGGTCACAGGTGAGAAAAAGTCATGAATTCAGCAGGGAACCAATTTGGCACAGGCTCAGATGGGAGGAGACCTTGGATTGATCATCAAGATGATGATGAAAATCTTAGAGTGAGGTTAATCTTCTCAGGGATCTCAGAGATCTACCTATAGACAATAAAGTGGGTGAGGGATTATCTGTGAATATATAGACTAGCTACTGAAATAGAACCTCATAACTGTGACTGTAGCTCCCCACTCATGTTTCTCTTTTCTAGGACATCCTCATGTCACACCCAATCTGTCAGTGCATCCAGGCACCATTGTGTCCTCGGGAGAGAATGTGACCCTTCTCTGTCAATCATCAATCCCAATGGACACTTTCTTTCTGTTCAAGGATGGTGCTGGCTATCCCTATTTGCATCAAAGATTAAAGTTCCAAGAGCCACAATATGAGGCAGAATTCTTCCTGAGTGCTGTGACCCCAGTCCTTGTGGGTATCTATACATGCTTTGGTTCTCAAAGTTCGTCTCCTTACCTGTTGTCACACCCCAGTGTTCCTGTGGAGATCAAAGTCTCAGGTGAGGTGATTCTGACCTGTCTGAGCTCAGAAGGTAACCCAGGGTTTATGACCAAGGAAGCTTTTGGATGGTATAGGAGTAAGTTTAACATAGAGAGGATCATAAGAAGGTTCGTTATTCAGAGATTAAGAAATAAACTGATGTTTTAAAATTAATGACCACTCTACCTTCTACCCTGGAATCTAGAAGATTCCATGTAGAATGTAGAAGGTTCTGGAGAGGCCACAGTGTAGATATAAGACTAAAAGGGATGAAAATATTCAGGTGACCTTCCACGCATCATCCTCACACTCTATTTGCCACAGTCTTTTGATACTCACAAACCATTCCAACAAAAGTTTTAGATTTTTCTGTCCAAGAAGTTTCTTCCATCCTAGAATGCATGGAAACTCTGTCTCTGTGAGTCTTCATTCCTGTATTAGCTTGGATGGTGATAAATGTGCTGGGTATGGAAGTCAGACTTTACCATCATCCCTAGTAACAGAGAATCTCAGAGGCTAGGCTGCAATACAGGCATGCTGATGAACAGTGATATTGAGAGCAGCACATAAGTGAGAGGTGACAAGTCCCCTGATTGCTTTACTCAACAGTATCAGGTCATGAAATTCCCATGGTGTCTGACCACAGAGGTCTAAGCAAGAACTCTGTTGCTGGGAGAGTATGTGCATCATGCTATTTATGGGGTTGGTGAATTTTCTTCAGGAGAAGTTGACATGGAAAAACCACTCTATTTTGTAGTTTTCAGTTTCTACAAGTTGAAATTTGAGAGCTCTCACAGAGGCAGCAAGTTACTGTTATTGCTCATATTATCTGTGTCATCTACTTACAGAGAAAGGCTCTAGAACCCGCTTCTGCAATAATCCTATCCTGTTTGCTGCTGGGATGGTGACTGTGTAGGGGTGTGGTAGAAAGCTAGGGAAGCGAATCAAGGACCCATCCTTTCAAGTTTATAAAGTTTAGCTTTAGTGTAGGGAACGAGATAGGAGACAAGATACCTCGAGATTAATCCTCAACAACATACCTTTCTTCTAGGTGACCTGGAACAGATAAACTGACTGCAAGTGTTGGGATATAGTTTCATGTTGCATGGCTTTCAGACTGAGAGATAGTTAACATAAATACACAGCATGGCCATTCACACAGTAGATCCTCCTTTAAAAATGTTTTTATTTATTCTTCTCTTATATGATACATTTTGATGCAGTTTTCCCTTCCTGAACTCTTCCCAGATGCCCCAACTTTGGATCTCCCCCAGTTATACTTTCCCACACATATCCATCAGAAAAGAGCAGTCAGTCCACATAGGACCATCAGTTGAACAACATGATACAATAAGACCAGGCACAAATTCTCACATCAGGGTTAGTTGATCCAACACAGTAGGAAAAATAGGTTTCTAAGAACAGTCAAAGGATTCAGAGACAACCCCATTCACCAGTCAGGAGTCCCCTTTCCACAAACACTAAACAAACAACCATAGTGTATATGCAGAGGACCTAGTCTTGAATAATGCAGGTTCTGTGATGGCCTCTTTAGTCTCACGTAGTAGGTTCTTTTCCACAGCCTGTCACTCATGATATCACTTGTGTCCTAGGACTGGCAAGGTACCAGAAGTCTTTCATATGGGTCTCCGTGGTCTTCCTCCTACTGCTCTTTGTCCTCACCCTCTTTTTCCTAAGACTCTGGCACCAGAAGAAGCACAAGAAAGGAGGTGAGCAGGATGTGGGAGGCCTGGGTCTCAGTGGACAGTGGGTCTCACTGTGGGACTTCCAAGTAGGGGTTCAGGACACCAGCCCAAGGGAAAGTGCAGCCTGGGGCAGATAAGTTTAGAAACATTTCTGCAGAATCTCAGATCAGAGGATGTAATCCAAAAACCTGTGCAATGTCAGGTATTGTATCAGCCTTTCTATCTCTTAGAATATTTGAACACATATGTAATTAAATTTAAATGTCCCTTTCTTCAGAGATTTTGTATAGTAAGGAGGCACCACCTCCAGGCTGAGGCTCTTTCCTCTTTTGCAGTACAGACAAAGACTGACTTACAACATCCTGAAGGAGCTGCAGAGCCAATAAACCTGGTTGGACACCTGCAGAAGAGGTAAAAACTCATGCCCAACAACCTAGACACCACATCCCTGACCCATCACTGTCACTTGACACCTCTTGTCTCTTCAGTTCCAGCCTAACTCCTGCCATCCAGGAAGAAATCTTGTGTGAGAAAATAGGGCCTGGGAGGGAGATGTCTGAGGTCTCAGCTTCACAGTGCTGGTGAAGTATCAGGAACTATGAATTCTCACTATGTACCATTACCCTCATGACCTCTTCTATTTTCAATCAGAAAAAGTGAATGGATCTGGTCCTGGGAATCTGCATGGGAAAAACATGTGTGTTTTGTTATTACAGATGCTACTGTGAAGGTCACAAGGCCTGCAGACAGTGTGGAGCTAGACATACTGGTGAGATTCTTGTTTATTCACATCACTAAGAATTTATGACCTGGAATACCACAGGAAGAACCTCTGTCCTCCCTTCTTTCAACCACCAGTATGTTCCAAAGTTGGCTCCTTGTTTCTGGAAACTCTTGTTTTCAGTAATTTCATTCTTGCTTTGTTTATTTGTGACTCTTATTTTCTGACTCCTCAGTATCTGTCTGGTTACTAGCATGCTTTATGGGACTCAGAAGACAATATGAGGGTCTGAAGCTGTAGTTCAATGGTAAAGTGATTTGATTAAATTGGATGTATAAGGCGTTGGTTTTAACCTCTTAGAATAAAACTACCAAGTAAATGAACAAAAAACATTAATAAATGAGAACCATGCTCCTGAGAATGTGTATGCACATGTATGTAAGCACAGGCAGAGGACAGAAGTCAACATTTAATATTTTCTTCTATTTTTTCCACCTTATCTTCTGAAACAGGGTCTATCAGAGACCCTACAGTTAATTACCTGGGGAATTGATGCCACTGAGTTCTGGATGTCTGTCTCTATCCCACAAGCAGTTGGATCCCAGGCATGTGCTTTATTGCTTAGACTTTTTTAAAAACATGGGCACTGGACATCAATCTTGAGTTAATGTTTCCATAGCAATCACTATGCTCATCTCCCCAGTTCCTGGATCTTGCTATTGACTACACCCAAAGCAAAAAAATACTCTCTACTCTCTGGGACAAGATTGGGATGAAGATGATATATAGACCAACCCAGAGAGTGAGCAGCACAAAGTGTGTTAAGGAAATGAATTAGAGGATGTGGGTTGAGGTTGTGTGAGATACAGATGGTCAGTGTGAATTTAAAGGGAACTTGAAAGAAGCCTTCTGAGGAAAAGCCTAAAAGACTCATACAAACCTGTGATGAACTGGCATATCTAGGTTCAGGACATGATAGGTCCAAGTGTCCTAAGGTCAAGGATGTTCTCTTTTCAAAATTTGGAGGCACTAGAGAGGAGGTCAACGTATCTGGATCATATGTCAGAAATGCAGAAAATAAACAGACAGGTGTTATAAGTACTGAGGAAGCCACAAAAGACCCAATCAACAATGGCTTATTTTGATATAAATGTCTAAAGTACCACTCTCTCTCCCTGTTTAAGTACTGGTGAAGAATCATTGGGGAACTAAAATCTACTCATTTTGTTTCTTTCTGTCTGTGCTGCAGAGCCAACATGAGGATGACATGTCCATACACTTGTATGCCCAGGTGAAACCTGCTAGACTCAGAAGGGCACAGACCACCTCTTCTTCCCTGTTGCCAAAGGAGTTACATGACTCAAAACACAGACATATAAACAGAGATCAAGTCATAGATGAGCAGGTGGGTCTTGATTTCTCCAGACCCCCAGGTTCCCAGTAGCCAACACAACCCTTCTTCTACTCTTTTCTACTTCAGGCTGATACATCCCAGAATCCTCATGCTGTGACCTATGCCCAGCTACACTTCATGACACCAGTACAGGCAAGCGTCCCTCTTTCCAAGAAGAAAATGCTGAGCTGAGACACTTCTCTGATGTCTACCAGTCCAGGGAAATCTAGAATCTACATTCTGTGGGCGAAAGAGGACTCAGCCATGTCAGAAAATAAAATCTGCCTCAGGTGCACTGTTATTGTGCAAACGTAACTGATGTCTAGAGTATTCTGAGTTCTTTAGGGACTCACTCAGTTCTGTAGACTGAGATAATTAATATGCCTGCCTCTTACAAATATAGTCAATGCTTTGTCAGTAACTGATACATAAAATGAGGAAAGAAGGAAGTTTTTGTTTTGTGTTTTCTGTTTTGTTTTTATATTTTTTCAGATTATTGTATAATTACATTTTCTTCTTCCTTTCCTTCATCTAAATATGCTCAAAGACTCTTGTCCACTCTCTTTCACATTTGTGATCTTTTTTCATTAATTCTTATCACATGTACATATGAATATGTGTATACAAAGTTGCAAAACCTTTTAATCTTAATATATGCTTTTTGTCAATTATATCTCAATAGAGCTGAAAATCGAATGATGAAGTAACCATAATTATTGTGTCATGAATCTGATGAATGCAGAACTGATCTGAACTAGTCCTGGACACTGAGAGATTGAGTGAGAGGGCCTGGGATAAGAAATAAGAAGATAAAAAGCAATAGTTAGATGAAGAAGTCTTGCATAAGTTCATGCCTTAGGACAAGCAAATTAATTGAGAAATATACTATCCTATTTGAGTCCCCTCTCCAGCAAATGTAACATAGACTACTCCAGTATTAGACTGGACTACAAGTCTGATCCTGGAAAAGGGCACAGAACTAAACTTCCATTTGTCCTTTCATCTCTGAAAATTCTCTTAGAAAGACCTCTCTGAAGGTCTTGGGTTGATTTGTCTTTATAAATAGAACCATGAACTCACTGATAAGTGGATAACAGCCAAAAAATTCAGAATAGCCATGAAACTATTCACAGACTCTAGGAAATGTAACAGGAGGGAAAGCCCAAGTGTGGATATCTGAAACCTACTTAGAAGGGGAACAAAATATTCATGGGAAATAGAGAGAGGGAGGAAACGGAGTGGGAGAGAGGACAGGGAAGGGGAATGGGAAATAGAAAAAGAGGGGCAGGATTGGGTATGGGGAGAGACAGCAGGAACATGCAGAGGGCCAGGAGAATACATCAAAATATGCAGTAGTGAGGGGTAGGTAGTAGGGGCAATCTCTAGAAAATCTCAGAGACTTGGGATGTGAGAGGCTACCAGGCTTCAACTATGATGACATTAGCTGAAATGCCCAACAGTGGGGAAATTGAACTGGAAGAGATCACTTCGAGTAGATAGACATAGCCTCCAGTTTTGGCAGGGGAGGAAGCACAAAACCATCTTCAAAATTTTTAATGCAGAATTATCCCCAACTAAAAGAAAGGCAGGGTCAAAAATGGAGCAGAGATCTCCCCTTCCACCTATGCCCAGCAAGGCCATCCTCCCCTACATATACAGCTGGAGCCATGAGCTCCTCCTTACATGGTCCCAGGCTGGTGGTTTAGACCCTGGGAGCTCTGGTTGGTATTGTTGCTCTCCTCATGGGGTCGCAAACCCTTTCATCTTCTTCAGTCTTCTTTCTAACTCCTCCATTGGGAACTCCTTGGTCAGTTCAATGGTTAGCTGTAAGCATCTGCCTCTTTATATGTCAGACTCTGGCAGACCTCTAAGGAGACAGCTACATCAGGCTCCTGTAAGCATGCACTTCCTGGCAGTCACATCAGCGTCTCCCTTTGGTGACTGCACATGGGATGGATATCCATGTGGAATGGTCTCCAGACTGCCAAAGGTAACTTTGGTTGCTGTTGCTTATGTTCTTGCATTTGCCTTTCGCCATCTGGTTAACTCTAGTGCTATCTGCACTCACTGTCTCTAACTGGAGACTGTCTTTCCAGTTATCTTGCTTGTGTCATAACTGCTCAGAGTCCAGAGGTCTCTGTGATCCTGAGCTCCTGGGTTGAAGAGATCCTGGGACTCAGGCTTTATCTGGGATCCTGAAATCCTGCTGCTCCAAGTGCAGTGGTTCTTCCACTGCTCTGAGTGCTGGGGTTCCACTACTGCTTTAAGATGGCTCAGGATATGGTGTCTTCACAGGAGCAGACCCTCTAGGTGTCTGCCCCAGCCAAAAGGACCAATCAAGGGGTTGAAGGGGAGTGGTATTCTGATGGGGCAGGGTTTGGATGGGTTGCAGCTCTGGGGCTTAGGGTTGTGGGGGAGGGTTCTTACCAGCTACTCTAGGAAGGTCCAGGATAAGGTGTCTTCACAGAGCAGACCAGCAAGGTGTCAGCTGCTCTAGGAAGGTTCAGGATAAGATGTCTTCTCGGGAGCAGACCAGCCGGGTGTCTGCCCCAGCCAAAAGCAAAGCTTTTTAATTTTATGGGATTCCATTTGTCAGTAGTTGATCTGAGAGCCTGTGCCATTGTTTTTGGTTCAGGGAATTTTTCCCTTTCCCCTGTGCTGATGTCTTCTAGAATCTTTTCCACTTTCTCTTCTATTAGATTCAGTGTGTCTGTTCTCTCTCTCTCTCTCTCTCTCTCTCTCTCTCTCTCTCTCTCTCTCTCTCTCTCTGTTTCTTTCTTTTTTGGTGGAGGTCCTTGATCCACTTGGACTTGAGCTTTGTACAAAGAAATAAGAAAGGATTAATTTGCATTCTTTTACTTACTTGCCACCACTTGAACCAATATTTGTTGAGTATGCTGTATTTTAATCTCTGGGTGGTTTTGGCTTCTTTGTCAAAGACCAGATGACCATAGGTGTGTCGGTTTATTTGTGGGTCTTCAATTCTATTTGATTGATCTACTTGTCTGTCTCTCTATAAATGCCATGTAGTTTTTAATCACTATGCCTCTGTCAGGGATGGTGATTCCCCCAGAAATTCTCCTATTGTTGAGAATAGTGTTCACTATACTGAGTATTTTGTTATTCCAGATGAATTTGTGAACCTTTTTTTTTCTATCTCTGTGAAGAATTGTGTTAGAATTTTAACAGGGATTGTATTGAATCTGTAGATATTGTTTGGCATGATGGCCTTTTCTATTACATCAATCCTGCCAATCCATGAGCATGGGAATTTTTCCATTTTCTGAGGTCTTCTTCCATTTTTTTTTTTTTCAGAGACTTGGAGTTCTTTCCTTACAAGAAGGTTCTTGTCATATTTTCTGTCTATAAGAAAGTTGTGTAGATCTTTCACTTGCTGGGTTAGAGTCACACCAAGGTATTTATATTATTTATCACTATTGTGAAGAGTGTCATTTCCATAATTTCTTTCTCAGCCCATTTATCCTTTGAGTGGAGGAAGGCTAATGATTTTTTGAGTAAATTTTATATCCAGACACTTTACTGAAGTTGTTTATCAGGTGTAAAATTTCTCTAGTGGAATTTTTGGTGCCACCTAATTATACTATCGTATCATCTGCAAATAGTGATATCTTGACTTCTGCTCCAATTTTTGTCTAATGACTCTGGCCAGAATCTCAACTATTATATTGAATAGATAGGGGAAGAGTGGGCAGCCTTATCTAGTCCCTGATTTTAGTGGGATTGCTTCAAGTTTCTCTCTAGTTTGATGTTGGCTACTGATTTTTTTTTTGTATATTGCTTTTCCTATGTTAAGGTACTGGCCTCTAATTCCTGATATTTTGAAGACTTTTAACCGAAGAGGTGTTGTATTTTGTCAAAGGCTTTATCAGATCTAATGAGGTGTTCATGTGTTTCTCTCTTTGTGTTCATTTGTATAGTGGATTATGTTGATGAATTTCCACATATTTTACCATCCCTGCATCCCTGGGTTGAAGTCTACTTGATCATCATGAATGATTTTTTTTTGATGTATTGTTGGATTTGGTTTGCTAGTATATTTTTGAATATTTTTGCATTGATATTCATAAGGGACATTGGTCTAAAGGTCTCTCTTTTTTGGGTCTTTGTGTGTTTTAGGCATCAGTGTCAGCGCAACTGTGGATTCATACAATGAATTAGGTAGTGTTCCTTCTGTTTCTATTTTGTGTAATAGTTTGAGAAGTACTGGTATTAGGTATTCTTGAATGTCTGATAGAATTCTGCACTAAAACCATCTGATCCAGTGATTTTTTTATTGGTTGGAGACTTTCAGAGATTGCTTCTATTTTTTAAGGACTATGGGACTGTTTTAAGGATTATGGGACTGTTTAGATGGTTTATCTGATTTGATACCTGGTATCTGTCTAGAAAATCATCCATTTCATCTAGAGTTTCCATTTTTGTTGAGTATATATTTTTGTTATAGGATCTGATGATTTTTTTTTTAATTTCCTCAGTTTCAATTATGTCTCCCTTTTCATTTCTGATTTTGTTAATTTGTATACCATCTTTGTGCCCTCTAGTTAGTTTGCCTAAGGTTTATCTATATTGTTGATTTTCTCAAAGAACCAGCTCCTAGTATTGTTGGCTCTTTGTGTAGTTCTCTTTGTTTCTACTTGGTTGATTTTAGCCCTGAGTTTGATTATTTCCTGCCTTCTACTCTTCTTGGGTGGATTTGCTTCATTTTGTTCTAGAGCTTTCTGATGTGTTGTTAAGCTGCCAGTGTATGCTCTTTCCAAGTTTTTTATGGAAGCACTCAGCGCTATGAGTTTTCCTCTTAGTATGCTTTCATTGTGTCCCATAAGTTTGGGTATGTTGTGACTTTATTTTTGTTAGATTCTAAAATGTCTTTAATTTCTTTCTTTATTTCTTCCCTGACCAAGTTATCATTAGTAGAGAGTTGTTCAGCTTCCAAGGGTATGTGGCCTTTCTGTTGCTTTTGTTGTTATTGAAGATCAGCTTTAGTGCATGGTTATCTTATAGGATGCACTAGATTATTTCAAACTACCTGTTTCAGTTGAAACTTGTTTGTTTGTTTGTTTGTTTGTTTGTTTTTGGTCTGATTATATGGTCAGTTTCCGAGAAGGCTCCATGAGGTGGTGAGAAGAAGGCATATTCTTTTGTTTTAGGGTGAAATGTTCTGTAGATCACTGTTAAATCCACTTGGTTCATAACTTCTGTTAGTTTCACTATATCTCTGTTTAGTTTCTGTTTCTATGATCTGTCCATTGGTGGGAGTGGGGTCTTGAAGTCTCCCATTATATTGTGTGAGATTCAATGTGTGCTTTGAACTTTGGTAAGGTTTCTTTTACACATGTGGGTAGCTTTGAATTTATGGCATAGATGTTCAGAACTGAGAGTTCATCTAGGTAGGTTTTTTCTTTGATGAGTATGAAGTATCCTTCCTCATCTTTTTTGATAACTTTTGGTTGAAAGTCAATTTTATTTGATATTAAAATGGCTTCGGGGTCAGGAGGTGGTGGCTCACGCCTTTAATCCCAGCACTTGGGAGGCAGAGGCAGGCGGATCTCTGAGTTAGAGGCCAGCCTGGTCTACAGAGTGAGTTCCAGGACAGCCTGGGCTCTAAGAGAAACCCTGTCTCGAAACCCCCCCCAAAAAAATGGCTTCTACAATTTGATTTTTGGAAACATTTGCTT